ACGTAAAGGAGCAGCCGTTTTCACATTTGCCCATCACCTTATGCTTTCCTAACCCATTTTAACTGTTTTGACGACTTGGAGAGTTGCCTACTAGTTAGCAGAAGAGACGTACTTTATTTTGGGGATGATTATTTCACTGCTTCTCTGCCATGTGAGCTCCCTCGGTGCTCCTTACGGTCTTCTTCTTGCCCCAATGAAATCCTTGAAATAGCAGTTTCGTGACAGGCAAAGCGGGCCTGTTTTCCCAGGATCCCTCAAGAAACCATCTGCTCCACCCTCCATTTGCTCGAGAAAGGAGGGCAGGCAGAAGCTGCCAATCCAGGGGCTGAAAAGCCCGTCAGAATGACGGGCTCACGAAGGGCGGCGGATCAGGTGCTGCCGATGATGCCCACATGTCGCCCACGCATGGAAGGACCTGCCAGGGCCCTGCTAGTGCAAGTCGCTCAAGCAAGGCTTGGAGGGGAGGCGTGTTTCCCCAGCAGTCCAGGGCACCACCATGTGCAACAAAAGCTGCCACAGACACACACCGGCAGCAACAGCTCGACACCTCCTTGGTGTGGTTTTGCTTTCTTTCTTTCCCAGCCCTGATGAGCAGGAAGCTGGGGGAAACTATGTAGCGAAACTGGGAAGTTGCAAAGCTGAGGTGCATGCTTTTAATTTATCTTCAAATGTGTATATTTGGGGGAAATACAGTTTTTCTGAAGCCTGTTGTAAAGCTCCCAGAGAGCTTCATCTATTGGGCCCTGGAGAAAGAGAGAGGATGGGGAGAAGAGAGAGGAAAAAGAAAACTCTTGAAGTGTTGCTCTGAAGTGGCCAGCTAGATCACTGGAGAGAAAGGTTGTGAAGCGCCTTCCTATTATTCTTCCACCTCCTCTTCACATGGGCTTGCACCTCCATCTTTTCTTTTATGTACCACAAACTACTTACCACTTTAGAGAGGAGTAGGATTTTTTACCTCCTCTCCTTTGATCCCCAGTTGCCCTTGGTAACGTTGACTATTTCTGCCTGCTCTACTGGGCACGTCCAGCTCACCTTGCTGTTTGAAATTTGTCAAGTTTTAACAATATGGGTGCTCTTCATTCCTGTTCTCCAGTGACTGTTTGGGAAACCTTTATTACAGGCATTAGTGACCAGTCTGTACAAGGTGTGAGGTGGGGGGTGGCATACGGTGTCTGGGACACCATCCCCCTAGGGCTGAGGAACGTCGCAATTCAGCCACATCTGGAGGCTACTGTAATGGGCATAGTAATAAGCTTTCTCCACACTTATCTCACAGAGTAGGTCAATTTGGAAGAAACAGAAGCAGAAAACCTCTCAGGCGTGCCAGGCTGGACCGATCAGAGGTGAGTGGCACAACCGTTGGGCAGGGAGGTTTTTCTAGCAGGCCATCTAAGCATAGCTAGGAGGTATATATGCATGGTGAGAGCCTCAGAGCCTCAATGTGCACTGTCATCCTATGCTTGGCTGCTGGGGACAGGCTGGGGTGATTTGACTCACATGCTGACAGAAAGAGCTCTGAGTGCCCACTGTGACGGGGGGGGGGGCATGATTCACCACCATTGCTCTAACCGTACTCTGCAGCAATCCCCTAACCCTAATACACAGCCAAAGATCCATTGAAAAGAGGGCGATTTTGAAATAGTCCTCTTTGAGGAGCTTTTTCTGCACAGCTCATCATTTCTGCCCATTCCAAACACATTCCAACCATCAAAATCATGCCAGGACACCACGTTTTTGGAACCCTAACCCTACCTTTGTGCACATCCTTAACCCTAAGATAGGGCTAAATTTCCATTGAAAATAGGGTGAGTTTTTAAAAGCCTTCCTTCTGGAGCTTTCTCTGCACAGCTCATCATTTCTGCCCATTCTGAGCACATTCCAACCGTCAAAATCATGCCAGGACACCATGTTTTGCCAACCCTAACCCTACCCTGTTACAGTCCCCTCACCCTAATACAGGACTTAAGATCCATTGAAAAGAGGGTGATTTTGAAAAAAAAAAAAACTTGCTTGAGGAACTTTTTCTGCACATCTCACCATTTTTGCCCATTCTAAACACATTTCAGCCATCAGAATCTTCCCAGTACACTTCATTTTTCTCACCCTAACCCCACTCTGGTGCACACGCCTAACCCTAATGTATGCCTAAAGGTCTATTGAAAATAGGGTGATTATGAAAAAGCCATCCTTGAGGAGCCTTTTCTGCACAGTTCATCATTTCTGCCCCTTCTAAACACATCCCAATTATCACACCAGGACACCTCAATTTTTTTAACTCCAACCAAATGATAGCGAACCTTTTAGAGACTGAGTGCCCAAACTTGAACCCAAAACCCACTTATTCATAGCAAAGTGCCAACACTACAGTAAAACCTGAAAACTGAGGTTTTAGTTTAGAAAAAACAACTCGCAGCTATCCAAGCAACTGTATCCTTGGCAGGATGTACATCCTTGGCAGGGCACTGACCGGCCATGTGAAAACTCGGACAAGTCACAGCTAATGAGTTGTGGCTCATGATGTCATTGCCTGGTGCCGCTACTCCTTCCAAAGCATGCGCATGCCCCCTGTGTGTGCTGTTATCCGATACTTGGCTGCTGAGGCGATGTTGGCTCACATGCCGGCAGAGAGGGCTCTGTGTGCCCACTTTGGCACGCGTGCCCTATGTTCACTACCAGTGGCTTAGGGTGTCTTGGGGGCTCTGAGCCAGCTGGTTTGGCCCAGTAGTAAGAAAAAGGAAGTGGCTGGCTTGCCATGCCTTGGCCCATGAGGACCAGTTCCCCAGATGGAGGCTCAGCTGGTTAAATAAGAGTCTATGCAGCTAGCACAGTTTGTAGCTGGGCTGCAGATCCTTTTGCGTTATCGATGGAAGCTTTGGTATGTTTTCACCATGCTTGTTGGCATGTTGGCGCTGCTGCTACTGCTGCCCGCACTGCTGGACATCACAACACCCCATGGCCCCCAGTAAAAGTGGGTGGGGCTGGGACCTTTTTAGGGAATGGGACCCTTGGCCATGTGCTGTCCGTTTGCTATTGTATTTGCTGTTCACTGCTTTAAATATGATTATTTTGTTGTTCCTATGTATATTTTTTAATTTGTAAACCATCATGAGATTGTTTTAGAATAAATAATGGCATGAAATTTTAAAATAAATAAATAAATGTCCAAAAATCTACAAACCTGATGATGAAGATGATGGTGATAATAGAGCATTATTATCTTTGTTCTGTTCATGTGTAATGAATCCTGCTCTTTCTCCAGTGGATGAACTCCTTTAGTGATGCCCCATAGCTAATGAGGGAATGAAACCCACAATTACTGGGTTTCTTTGGCAAGCCAGGTCCAGACTCTGCAGGACCCTGTGCCTCTCAGAAGCACTCCAAGGACATGGAGAGGGCAGGCAGGTCTGGAGCTTTTGCAGCGGGTGCTCAGCTGGCAGCACATGCAGGTAAATGAAGACAGAGAGACTCCCTCCCTAAAGCTGCCACCGGATGGGGAGGAGCGCAGAGTGACCAGGGTGCCGGGAGTTGTGGGGAGGACAGCAGAGCACACAGGGTGACCAAGGAGAGAGCAATGGGGGCAGCTGCAGAACAGCCAGTGTATTATGCAGGTGTAAGTGACCAGAGCAGGAGATTCCGCAGAGGGTGCCTTGAGCAGAGCCCCTTCCAACCTGGCAGAACCACTGTTCAGTTCAGTTCAGTTGCAAGGAAGGGAGGAGGGAGGGAGGAAAGAGTTCCATTAAGTTTGTGTTTCCTGCTTGCTACTCTTGCTGTTGTCGTGTGCCATCAAATCATCTCCCACTCACATCAGCCCTATGAATGAAAGCCCTTCAGAATGACCTGTCTATGACAGCCATGTTCAGCCCTTCTAAATTCAGGGCTGGGGATTCCTTTCCTTGAGGAGTCCATCCATCTCACATTTGGCCTTCCATTTCTTCTTCTGCCTTCTGCTTTCCCTAGCATGATGGTGTTTTCCAGGGAGTTTTGCTTGGCAGGACTACTTGTTACCATAGACTAATGGGAAGTGCTGCATGGAATGAGATGGGCATGGCAGGGTGGATGTTCTTAGGGTGTCTTTGGGAAAGCACCAGCTGGCTGCCAACTTTTCTCTTTATTTTGTATTCCACCTGAGGGATGATGTTTCTTCATTTCCTGCTAGGTTCTTTGTTCCTGAAAGCTACATCATATGTCTGTGATGACAGCAGGAAACATGTAAGTCTTGATGTGAACGACTTGGCTTTAAAAAAGGAGAGACACAGTATGAAATACAAAGACTAAAGTGGCAGGCGTATCGTATCACACTGGGGCTGATGTGCCCACACATTGCAAAGATCCCGTGCTGAGTAATAATTCTGGCTCCCAAGTGGCGTCATCCGTCTGCTCACCTTAATCCCCTGCATGCCAGTGTCAGAAATCGAGAACTTCACGCGTTAGTGTGAATCTGAAGAGAAGAAAGAGCAACTCTGTGATTGCTAGGGCTGAATCCAGCAGGATGCATGCACATCCCTGCATGTGGTGCACAAGCAGTGCCCATGACTTGCACAACTGTGAACTGGCACAGGGCAGGTCTTTCTTCTTACCTGATATCCCAAAGCCTGGTGCAGTCTGGCAATTGCATAGAGAGAAATATACTATATACTATAGAGCAAAATACTATAGAGCAAAATAATGGCTGGACGAGTTACCCAGAGTTCATAGAGCATGAAGATGCTGTACAACAGGTAAATTCTCCATTTTCCACTATAAACTATCCACTGTATAAATTATCCAATTATACACATGCAATGAAAATTAGTCCCCCATTTTTTCTATGCTGACCTAACTTAGAGTTTGTTCTCTATTTACATGTTCTTACTATGTGAAAACACTGATGCATCCTCACTTTTACAGAAATCCTCAAAGCAAATCCCCAGGCTACCTGTTCGGACTCTCTCCTGTGCCGCAGAGGCAGCTTGTCTCAGTATAAATGGATGTTAATGTCATACTCTGATAAACAAGTTATGTGCCTTTTTAATCTCAAAGGATCTACTAATACATTTGCTCCTGGTTTGTAAGCCAGGAGGCCCCAATCCTCCATGCCGCTCTTCTGAATTGCACAAATTCCCTTCACAACAGAGAAATGTTCAGCTAGTTCTGTTCAGCCTGTCCCAGCCCAGTGACTGCAACCACTGTTAGTTCTACCACTATTAGGAACTGATCACAATCATGCTTAAATCATTTCTGAAAACAATCCTTCCGTCCTTCTTGGTGCTGCACTCGGGCTGGCACAAAGCTTGGCGAAGACACTGCTTAAGATCATGGGGCGCAGTGTTCATAAAGTCTTTTGTCCCAGTCAGGAAATCCAGTGTGTGACCTCCAATAGTATCTCCATCAATGAAGCATTCCGTGATATCCCAAGTAGAAGGGAAATTGTACACCTGGTAGTTAAGCCCCATGTCCTTGAGAATGGGTTCGATGTCGTCAGATGTGATGTAATGGCCACTGTCAGTCGGGGGAAGACAGTGTCTGTATTTCCTCCATATAGACGCCCACCCACTGTTACCTATGAGAATCCAACGTACAGCATCATCAGAGGCACTGAAATGTGATGCATAAGTAAATTTACTCATAGTAGATGGAGACAGCAAGTTGGGAGGGAAGACTCTTGCTTTTAGCAAATGAGCAAAATATATGTAAGATTCATAGAAGGCACAAAGCAGGAATAGATTACCAAGTCCCAGCATTATGCCAAGACATGGAATATGCATCAAAGTATTTTCTGCTAGAGAAAATTTGGAGCCCATGGCAGCTCCGTATTATATATCCATCTTCTATAGATCACTTCTGTCTATAGTATCTATAGCATAACAATCTTAAAGCTGTAGAATGTCTGCTGTTCTTAATTATTACAGAGGAAATTTTGTATGCAAGGATAATCAGTACAGGGCAATGTGGAGGGGAGTGGATTCTCACCTGATATAATTATAATCAGAAGTTTAGCATAAGAATCTAAGCAGCTGTGGAAAAATCTGACAGTGCTCACAATATCCTCCACACGGTAGAGCATCTAAAAGATGTATTGCAACAAGGGAAAGTAACATGTTGTTAATATCTCCTGATGAACTTCACTGAGGACTTGTACATCATTACTATTATCCCGCATAGAGATAAGCATCTTTGCACTATCACTATTATCCCCCATAGAGATAATAGCACAAATTCTAATCTTGATTTTGCAGGTAAACTGGTAGAGGTGTTGTAGAATTCAGCAACAGATACGAAGGAGTTCAGATTTCACTGAGCCCAGTCTGTGGATTCTGCAGCAGACCAGTTTTTCCAAATCATGCATATTCCATTTGTGGAGGAGTTTTTCACTTCAGGAGGTTTCGCGCTAATTTGCATCCATACTGATTTGCATGGGTGCCCATTAGCGCTAATGTGCACCTCCTTGAATGTGGTAACATGCATTAGTGGATGCATGTTAGTGTTAATATGATTTAAGCTAATACAAATTAGCAGAAGTACAATGCAGTTCTAGTTAAAATATCTGATTATATCAATGAGAAGATAATGTAATGAAAACTGCACGGCAATCTGTTAAACACAGATGGAAAAGATTTAACATATATCCTTAGAATCCAGCAAAGGGCTCTGGGGAGTGGTAACAGCTGCTTTTAAACCTTTCTACTTTTCGGTTCTTGCACATTTATCACTACTCACACTATATGCAAGAGTCAAATTATAGCTTTGCAGGAATATTGGGCCTCTGCCTCTCAGTCTGAGGCATGACCAGATCAGGACTTTTCATAGCTCTGATGAACCTGCGATTCATTATAGCCTGTCGCTGAACAGGGTAGATGAGAGACTGGACCTGCATTCTGGACTTGGGAGGAATCTCAAGTGAGTCTTGGGATGACCAGGACTGCTAAACCTCACAACAAGAACGAATGGACCAACTCCAGGAAATGTGGCACCTTCTAGTTTGTACTAACATGTCCATTGGGAGCACTAATTGCCCTTGAATATAGACGTGCCATTATGTACCAATTAGCTGCTCTGAGATGTGTGTTGGCACAAATAACCACAAGAGATTCCTCACAGAGAAGACATTTCAGAACTACAAGGTAAGCCGAGTTTTTCTTTCTGCAGCTAAACTGCAAGACAACTCTTGTAAAGCCAACAAGCAATTTAAAACTGATTATACAGAAGCTATGATTTGAGTTTTCAATGGCACAGCATGCTACAGGTCAGTATAAGACCACATATTTTTTCTTTTACAAAACAGGGAGTGTAGTTTGACCAGTTTGTAATGTACCTGGATCAGGTGAATGAAATCAAATTTCTTTTGTATGTTTTGTGCTCTAGCCTGCTTTTCATATTCCATGGATGTCAACTGATGCCAAGTGAATGAGACATTCTTAAGGTCAGAAGAATTCCTAACAGCATCTATGTAGGAAAGAACAATACAATGAATTGCAAACAGAGAGAACAAGCGAGAAAGAGCATACCAGATAAATAGGTAGATATAGGTATATTTCCCAGATAACTTTGTACTGAAGGAGTGCGATGCTGTACCTTTGTATGTCAAAATGTGTTGTGGATTGGGCTCTATGACTTCATTGTTAATCAAGATTCCTGGATGCTTAGCCTGAATGAGTCTTATCATATTCAAGTCCTGCTCACCTATACCAAGAATGCAAAATATATCATCATCATCATCATCATCATCATCATCATCCCAAAGACCCCAAGTCTGCTCAATTGTGAAGTGTGATTCACAAGAGCTTGTTCAAAATCTGTTTAGCTTTCAGGCTGCAGTGCTAGCCACACATAACTGGACGTAGGCCCCACTGAAGTTATTGGGACTTATTTTCCAGTAAATACACTTTGTACGGTGCTGTACATCTGCTTTGCCTCAGAGCAGAGAGTGAAGCTGTGCACACAACAGTATTAGAATCTACAGTCTGGTGAAATATCCCACAGAAGTACCCCTCCCCTCCCCGCCCCGTCACCCTTAAAGAAACACTGCAACCATCATTTTCAAAGCAAGGCCTTTGCCACCATGAGTGTCCCACTAAAGAAAAGAACCAAAGGAAATACTGGATATTTTTGTTCTGAGATATTTCTCCTTACCTGTGCCACTTCCCACACCTAGCACATTGATAGTTGATCTTCCATTTCCAAGACTGAAATTATAAGCATTTATGATACTGTTTTTCAACAAATGTTTCATTTTAGAAATGCAAAAGAATTGGTATAAAAACATAAATATCAGCTGTGTATAACCAAGCAGCCCTTCTCACAGGATCGAAGCACAATTTTGTCCTTTAGTTCCTCAGCTACATGCTATTATCACAAAGGAAGTGACATAGACATTTGAGCAGAATAACAGTGCCCAATATTTCCCAAAGAACTCTTTCAAAAACTCCTGCATCAGTCTGCCCAATGGGTCACCTGAAAAAAAAGTATTTAGCCTAGTAGAGATTTGGTCCCTTCCTCTCTCAGAAGGACCCCTGCCTTATGAGTTTACACTTTTTACAGAGAAACAAATGATATCTTAAAAAGTATTATCAGCTGGAGTTTAAATCGGTTCGATTCTAGAAATCCTACTAGCACAAGTATTCATGCTGTGACTCTTCCATGCCACCCGAGGCTCTTCCTGTTAAAGGAATGTGGGGAAATCAAGGAGGAAGCATTTCCTCATGTAAGCACAGGAAAAGTAAGTCAGAAAGAGGAAGGAGGGACGACCACTTGCTGTGCAGTTGTCCATATGTTCAGCTCATAATGTAAGTCAGGAAAGGTGATATGAAAGGTGATGAGATGGAATCAGAACTGAAAGACAGCTCAGAGTTAACATAGCTAGAAAATAGCCTTACAAAAGAGAAGCAGATGTTGTCCTGTTTGGAAATATAAGGAAATGTGTCTCAGCACAGCTAACAAAACTAAAAGGTAAATAGACTTTGTGGGGAACTTTCCACAAAACAGAACAGGGTTTTTTTCCAAAGGTGCATAAGCAAATGCATTAATCATATAGCAGAGGAGGCAAAACAAGACAAATATCCAGAGTGTTGGTCTTCATTGATTTCTCTGCAGGCCTTTTTGCTCCCAGCTCTGAAAAGTCATTGGGGAAAGGGGCAAGCCAGTGGCTCCTGATCTTCTCTGGGAGGACATGGGATGAGCCAGAGCCCCAGGCCCAAGGCCAAGCCTCCCCTGGCTCCTGCTCAGCCACCAGGGATAAAACTGCTCTGGCTGCCTTCAGCGATCACAGCTGGGCCTCAAAGAGGTTGCAAAGTGGCGTGTGGTGGGTGGGAGGAAGGATGGGCAGCTGGGGCATTGGTGGGATTCCTGTTGGCACAACCAGGCTCCTTCCTTCCTCGCCAGCACAGATTCTTGATGGCAAAAATGTCTGGCTAGATAAATACTGTGTGGTGCAGCACCATAGTGGAGATTGCAACTTACACACTTGCTCCAGTCACTGGATGCAAGTAAGGCTCTGGGATCAGAGGTTTATGGCCTGCTGGATGGAGGACACTGAATTATATGCCCTTCTAAGCACCTTCCAGGCCTCAGAAGCATCAGAAGCACCCTCATTTTGCTAACCCTAACCCTACCCTGGAGTTCCCTGAAACCCTAAAATCTGGCATAATTCCCCAGGCAGCAAAGGTGCTTCTGATGCTTCTGAGAAGTTGAACGTTAAAACAGCAATCCTACTAAAATGATGCTTAGAAGTGTTTTCAAAATGTGTTTTGTTTGCAACACTCCTAAAACTAAGCTTAGCTCTCTTTTAGAGTGGGTTTCTGTTTACATCCATTTTGTACCTTGTATGTTTTGTGCTCTCATATCGTATTTGATATTGAAGTAAAAGATGAAAGGACCCATCTTAGTTCAGTCTCATCTATCCAAACATACTGTGAGCCTAAACAGGAGTCAGAAATAAACCTGCATTCCTGGTGGCTCATTGTTCTGAAAAAACGGCATGGGATACATTACCTGCTGATCCACGATCAACCTAAATGTGGAAATCCCATATCATAAAATCCCTAGAGAGGGACAAACCTGTCACATCGCTACGTTTGTTCTTCCAAATGGAAATGGAACAAATTTTTCAAAGCCCTAGCTACAGATTGGGTATTCATCATAGCAAGTGGTAAGACATATTTCAACATGTATTTTGACAGAGGAGTATCACTAATGGCACAGTACATATGGGGAGGTGGTTTAGTGCTATTTCTAGATATGACTTCCTTTCATTTCTGTTAAATTTATTCTACCCTATGCCCACACCAAAGGGGTAATGAATCAATCTCAGTACTTTTAATGGCATCAAATATTACAAGCACTCAGATCAAATTTAGAATAGCCACATAAATAAATAAGTGAATAAAGTTTACTGATGAGCTGCAGCATCTCTCTGCTCCCAATAAAAGTATGGTGAATTTAAGCAGCATCAGATAATATTCTACAGAGCAACAACATCTTTTATTAGGACAGGTTGCCTTGAGCTGGACAGCTTTCCATACAATATGCCTTGGGCAAGCTAAGCAAACATGTTTTCAGAACAAACCTGCAACACCAGTGACCTTTCAAGATGAAGCCAAATAACCACACTTTAAGTCTTATGGGTAAAAGTGGCAGATATTTAACTTGCTTGACTCCCTTGATGAAATTAATATTTGCCAGTGCTCAGAAAAACCATCATTTTTAAACACTGTTGTTTCTCAAAGTGAAACCATGGAAAATGCCACATCTGATGCTGGTCCATCTAACGGAGTCTTGGTGGGCACCAAGAAATGTGTCTGGGGCACATTGCTGCCTGCAGACTCATGTCACCCACTTCCGGTCTCAGACCTTTGGAACAGAACGAGGATCCTAATAAAGGAAGCCACAGATGTTTGCATCTGCTCAGGCATTTTCTGGCCTTCCTTACCTGGCTACTATATTTGGCAGCTCCTCCTTGTTGAATTGCTCCATGCATTGGTGCTCCGTTGAAGTGTTTAAGAATGACTTAAAGGCCTTTGTGTATTCCTCCACTGTCAGGCTTCTCATGGGCTGGGTCACACAGATCTCTTTGGAAAACAAAGGGTTGATAGTTGGGCTGAAATGCCAAACTGGGAGTACAGGGGAAATTTTGGCATGCAGAATAGATATACAATGAGGCTTTTGTCCAGACTCACAGCCCCTCAGCTCTCCTTTTGTGGTGCACTTCAATAAGCCATCATTTAAACCACAATTTTATGTCGATTTACCTTTCTGGTTCAGACAAAAGTGGTTAATTTAGACCTCTTGGCTTATCAAGGGACACTACGAAGGGAGGAGTGAAGGGGTGCCTGTATAGGCAAAAGCTCATGAATTTTTCAGTTCATTAAGCTGATATATGATTATCTGAATCAGTCAGTCTGTACAATATTCTCACCAGGATGAAGAGCTTTTGCTTGGTGAACTTAAGTAAAGTTGGGGAATCTCTTCCAGTTTCTGGCTAAATTCAGTTCAAAGATCTCCTAGGAGGCTCCATCCCAATACTGGACAGGTCTGAAGGCATAGAGGGTGGTGAGGCCACAAATAACCCCCCAAAGCACCATCATATTGTAACTTAAAGGTCTTACTCCAGTGACAAGCTCTGGTGAACTGGTGTGGCTAGTGGTTAGTGCTGGACTGGAGTCAGGAGAGCTGAGTCCCATTCCTCACTCAGGAATTAAGCTCAGTGGGTGACTTTAGGCCAGGCACTGTCTCGCAACCTAACCTATTTCAGGGTTGTTGTGAAGATAAAATAGGGGTAGGATACTTCTGTAAGCCAACCTGGGTTTCTTGCAGGAAAAGTATGGGATATAAATATAATAAATTTTAACTCTTTGGAATAGGGAAAAACTTGCACAAAAGCCAGGAAGCCAGGAAATGCTTGGCAACTGGGGAAAAGGGGGTATGGCCATCCACAGTCCCTTGGAAGGCTGGATTAAGACTTCGGAAGGCCCAAATTTGAACCGTGGGCTGAAGAGAGTTAAGGACCTTTCATTAATACAATGCAACAGAGGAAATAATAATGATAATATATTTGAAGATAAGCTCCATTATGGATATGTACTTGCATCTTGTGTGTCCTCTCACCTTTTATCATCTTCAACCCTGGTGGTGCAGCTACTGACAGATATATGGTACAAGTCAGCAATAAAGGTTCCGGGTGGTGGTGGGGGGGGGTTAAAACAATTCAGAAAGCCCCCAAAATGAACACTTAAGAAATGCCAATATTCATCTGAAGCTTGCCAACTATAATCCTGACTCTGAAGCCAATACATATTCTGATGGACTTAGAGCTCTTAGAAACATACCCCATTCACTCCACTGGAATTTGCAGGATGGAATAAAGAGACAGATGTTCATGTGGACCTGTTTTTACACTGAAATGTATAGAAGAACCTTCATGGACAGAGATTTCTGAAACAACTTGGACTTACTGCCAACACACGTATCCTCTAATGGTTTGGGACTTAGCCTTAGACGAAGAGCTGCAAGTATTTAATGATTTACTTTGGACAGCAAATATGCACTCTACTGGCATATCCTAGAACATGTGGTGTTATTTAGCTAGTTCTGCCTAGCAACTCACACATTCTAAAGACCTTACTCGGAAGTACAATCAGGTCCACGAATGATGGCTGCTAGAGGAGAGGATGGCTCTTTATTTCCTCCAAACTCTATGGACATTACACAGGTTACACTGGTGTAATGGCATACTTACATCAGTGTGAAATTTAGGTTGGTGCGAGTGTTATGCTCTCAGAAACATGGGCAGAGGAGGGTCTGGTGTGTAGGAAGCAAAGAAGCTGCCATCTCAGCTTCATCTGCTTGAATAAAGTGATGTCACCATACTAGCTGCTGTAACCAGAGACACATCCATTGCAGGGGTCAAATGACTGCCAATCACATTCCAAACCCAACTTCCTTGAATGTTGGGTGGTGAACTCCTGACCAGCTTTCTAGCTAGTTGGAACACAACATCAAGACCAGTCCCGGGAAAAGAAGCACAAGACACTGTCACAGCCAATGCCTGCTGGGGCTGCTAACATCATGGTGCATCATCCAAACTGGGCTTCTCTTGTCTTTGAACGGGCAGCCAGGCAATTATCCAACACCCACAGAGCAAGAACATTCCCCATCTGGTGCCACACAGCCCATGATCATGGTCTACAGCAGCAGCAGCAGCAGGGAGCAGCTGCTGCCAAGTGGGTTTGCCATGCTTACGGAGATGCAGGATTCCTGCGTGTTTGAGGGCTTATGAATGACTAGGTGGCATGACAGGTGCTGATTTACAGTGCATGGGCAAGTGCGTGCAACCTGTGAAGTTGTTAAAGGAAGAGCGAGCCTGCATAAATACTGGTAGCAACAATGTCATGTCGGGAGTGAAGAAGGTCAGTGGTTACAGCACCAAGAACAGCTCCAAATGAGTTCACACCAGACAAGCCTCTGAGTGAATTGAAGGCTTCAGTGCTGCCAGGACTAGATCACACCTTCCATTCTCTGCCACTTCTTTGAGAAATAGGAGTGGCAGTCCTCACATTCTTCATTTCTGACTCTGGGAGTGCTTCCTGTGTTGATGGGATCACTTGGTGTGGAGGCACAACCAAGGCAGCAGACACTGTCCAGCAAAAAACCATGTGAAGTTGGAGAACTTACTGCAAGATGCCAGGGAAAGGGCTCAGCAAGTGGAAAACACCCTGCTTTTGATCTGACAACTGGGGCAGCACAGGATTCCAGCTACCTGAGCTAATGGAGTAACAGTGGAGTAACAGCCATCTTAAGAAAACTGTCGAGGTTCCTTATCTGCCATGGAGACATTTGGCCAAGTAGCAACAGAAGGAGAAGGAGAAGACATTACAGAGCTCGTTAAACTTCAAAAGTACCTGAATTGTTGGGTGGGGTCATCAGTATCTCTCTCTCTAAACTCGCATCTGGTGCTATCCTGCAGCAAAGCAGAAATCGATCTTACACTTCTTCAGCTCTCTGAAAAGTCACCCAGCCACCCTTCAGTTATTCATGCTGTTACCTCCCAGGGATCCTCTGAAGGCTCCCTGGCATACCTGCGGTCACACTCATCATCTCCCTCCGTGGTTCCAATCACAGGCCGTTTGGCACCATGCATGGGGCAAAATCCTTTGGAAAGCACAGAAACCCTGAGGCAGCCCTCTCCGATCTGACCTTGCCCTGCTTTGAAGACCCTGCATTGATGGCAATAAAATACTGTTCAAAGTGAGCTAGGCCATTATTCCTCAACTATCACTTCAAGAAGGAGCTTAAGCCTGTTGGTCACTTGTGATCTTGCACTCTCTTTTTTCCCTTACAATATGAGCAAGAAGTGTAAGGAGATCTGGATAAATAGAGTGCTGCTCCCTGTTCAGACTCATTTATTTCAAAGCATTTTTGCACTCATCAGCAGAGAAAGCCCCCAGTGGGACTGGGACTCTGGCTTAAAAACACAAACACAAGGCAGCCCCTGCACCCAGGCTTATATTGTAGGAATAGGTGGAAAGCTCTGCTTTAAATGTAGGTTGTAAGCATGTGAGCAGAGCCTTGTCATTGCAGTAGCTGTAGTAATGGTCAACAATGTTTGTTTATTTATTAAATTTGTATAAAAGCACTCCTTTAGCACAATGCTTTCTGGACAGCCTATACAGATAATAATAATAATAATAATAATAATAATAATAATAATAATAATAATACCAGCAGCAGCAGCAAGATCCAAGCAGGGCTACACTATGAATAAGCAGAAATGTTTTGATCACTAATCCTTCAGCTATGATGAAATGTGTAGGTTATAATACTGTCAGCTGAGAGCCTTGGCTTTTGATTCAAACCATAGTAATTTCCCACGTCTTCCTTACCTTGGCAACATTGCCCTTGGCTCCATGTTTTCCGTGTCTCTGTCCTTTTCTGGATACTGCCGAGCCTCCTTTGCAGACTCTAGCAGATGAAGTGCAGGATACAGGTGCAGCTGTTCTGCAGTCCACTGGTGCTTTTCTATAGTTCCCTCATCCATTCAAAGCGATCTGTGTTTGGGCTCAGCAGTGCTAAAGTTCAGAGACAGATTTGACTCTAAGTTGACATTTCCATCTGTTACTGTCACTGTATGCTGCTCTGTTGGCCCACTGAGGATTTTCTATGACCTGGAGCATCTCAGAATGTCCTTCCTCACACCTGTTATCACCCTCCCCACCCCCACCACCAATTGCTCGAATTAGTATGGCTCTAGAAGATATCTGATCCTGAAGACCTTAGATAGCATATGAAGTCACATGGCAATACCCCACATGGCATGCTTAAAAACCCTGGCAGAGGGAGGATCTGGAAAGAGCAGTGGCATTTAAATTGGGCACTTGCATGGACACAGTGTGTGGAGCTGGCACACTGTAAGCACGGTGCAGCTTGCGATCCTACCTGGTCCAGGGTGCTGGATGCCTACAGCATTGCGATTTGATTTCGGGGCATGTGGCTGATGATCTGGGGTTTTAGCCCCTGCAGCTTATGGGCATTACTCTTAGACATCCAATTCACTTTGGCTGAATAGCCTTGATATTCATGCCCATCAGAAAGAGCAAGAACGTTTGATCAAGAATCCAAGCGAAATGGCAACTGGCAGCTACAGTTCACTGCTCCTACCCTATCTGAAAGGGACTGCTGATTTGTTGATGCCTGTGGTCCCTTAGGCATGTGATGCACAAACATCCTGCCTATAGGAAAGAACCTCCTGGGAACTGGGGAGCTGGGAAGTTGGGAGCTGGCCTCCTGGGTTCTGCAAAGCCCTCCACCAAGATGCTTCTCCAATTGCACAGTTGGGACCATGCGTTTCTCCTCATGCTAGCAAGTTTTCAGAGGGAGATGCACATTCAGCAACTTAGATACATGATGTATTATATGGTTTCAGGCAATCTTATTCCCACTTATCTGAGAATAAGCCCTATGAAATAAGCCACTTGAAATATCATGTACAGGGATGTGTTCGTCATTATTATTATCTGTTTTTATTGTTCTGTAATGGATTCTGAGCTTGGATTATAAGCTGCTTTGATTGGATTTATAGAATGAGAGAAACTATCACTTGTAAAAAAATGAAGATATACTAGGCTAATAATAATAATTGTCCATATCTAGAACTAATTTGCAATTTATGTTGTAGTAACCTGCATAATGTAAGCTACAGTGGAATTTTCTGTGGCCACACAAAATCTGAAGCAGCATAAATTTTCCAAACTGCCCAATTGCAGATTCTGAGCACTTGCACCCACAACAAGGGTTTAAGAACTCAAAGTTTCACAGCTCTCCCTCAGACTTTCAGAGTGCTACTGTAAACAGACTTGACAAAAGAATTTTTAAAATGTGGTTATTTTATTTAACTTCAAGTGACATTTTTCCTTGCTGACTTTATAGTAGAAAACCTTCTGGTCTCTGACTTATAAATGGATCTAATATATGTCATATGAACATAAAAAGTCTTGCTGAATGAAACCAAAGGCCCACCCAATGGAGTCTCTTGGTATGGAGCCAATGCCATGCCTATTCTGCAGATGAAGCATTGGCTGAGTGCGATGCAGCATCTTGTAAAGAGCAGTCTCATGGGGGTCTGCATGCATGATTTGGGGTAGCCCAGCACTGGGGACCTGGATTCTAGTACCCACTTGACCATGAAGCTGTGGGCCAGTCACTCACTCTCAGCTTAACCCGCTCACAGGGGAGTTGCTGTCAAGATAGAATGGAGTGGATGAGCACTATATAAGCTGCCTTGGGTTCCTTGAACAGGAAAAAGGGCAGGGTATAAAAGGACTCTAATAATAAAAAAAGCAATTTAATAGCAATATCTACTGGTTAGTATTGGTAGAAGGCACCATGTTGGACAATATCTTGCATCCATGAAGCATTAGTCCAGTTGTACTTCTATGCCATCACACAGAGAGGAACCTCCAGCTTCATTTGTACTAGCCAAGAGTGGATTATGGACCTTAGCTAGTTTTCCAGTCATTCACACATTGGCTATAATTATCACGGGGTGCCACACCTGATGGTGTTTTGTGCTCAGAGAAAGTGTGGGGCCAATGCCACTGGGTGTCCATTCATAATGAATACTGTGCAAGAACGGCAAGCATTCTTTGGCTTGCATTTTACCACCCCACTGGTGCAACCATAAGCAAAACATTTGGTTTTGCTACATAGTCAGGTTTGCTTATAATGTTGAGATTTATATAGTATGTGTTTACACCTCAAACCACAAAACTGCTGTAGGTCTGCTACCTATTTTCCTCCTCTTGCGGTGTAGACCTTCACTATTGTAATAATCGTTAATCACATTCAGTCAGAGGATAAGAATTTGTCCTGCTCAGTGGTGTGGCTCAGGACCAAGTTCATGGCTATCAGTGCTTCTTGTGATTTGTTATTGTTAGGCGCCATCAAGTTGACTCTGATTTATGCTGACCCTAGGGATAAAAGCGCTCCACAATGTCCTGTCCATGACATTCCTGCTTAGCTGCTCTAAATTCAAGGCTGTGGCTTCCTTTAGGAGTCACTCCGTCTCTTATCTGGTCTTCTTTTTCTTCATCTGCCTTTGACTTTCCCAAGCAAGATTATCTGCTCCAGTGAGTCTTATCTTCTTATGAAGTGTCCAAAGTGTGACAGCTTCAGTTTTGTCATTTTTTGCTTCTACGGAAAGCTCTGGCTTGATTTGATCTAGGACCCACTTGAGCATCTTTCTGCCAGTCCTGGGTATTCACAGAGCAACACTCCTCCAGCAACACATTTCTAACAGGTCAGTGTTCATTCCCTCAGTTTTCTTCACTGTCCAGCTTTTCACCCACACATAGTGATCAGGAATACAATGGTGCGAATGATCTTGGCCTTGGCCTTCAGTGAAAGATCCTTACATCCGATGACATTTTCTAGTTCCTTCACTGCTGCCCTTCCAAGCCTCAGGCTTTTCCAAATTTCTTGGCTGCATTCTCCCTCTGAATTGATGACTGAGCCAAGGTAAACAAAATCCTTCACTATTTCAGTTTCTTCACTGTTAGCAGTGAAGTTATGCAATTCCTGTGTAGTCACAATTTTTGTTTTCTTAATATTGAGGTGCAGTTCTCTTTTTGTTTTGTTTGTTTTGATCCCTGTCCTAATTATATCTGCTATGGAATTTGTCTTTCCCAAGGCTGCCACGTCTTGAGTCAACGTCTTCATTGATTTCAGCACCATGACTCCAAAATACCCTTGCTGGTCAGTCACCCACCATACACCAGAAAAGGCTTAGGGGTGAAGTTTTAGGGTGGCTCCTAATGAATTCATTGTTGCCTAATGAATCTAGTAATAATAACTTGTTTGTAAAGGTTTCAACTGTGATAACCGTAAAAGAACCCTTCACGGTGCAAGAAATTTTACTCGGGAACTACCCATTTTGCCTGAATTGTCTTATGAGTGGAAATGTTCCCCGTTGCCTCTTCCTTGACTTTAACCTGCTATTTTTTAATTTCCTAAGAACTAGTTCCCTCTACTGGCCAAATGCATAGAAGCAATCTGAAGACAAAGTCTATCTGAAGCTTGTATTTTGCAGCCACAATCCTATGCAACATAGTGATGCAATGTGATTTTATTCCAACTAAACAGGTATAGGATTGTGCTACAATGGTGCTACATAGTGAAGAAACAAACAGGGGTCTTATGAGGATGTGGTAGGGGAATTCTGGTGAAGATAACGCTAAATTTCATTTTATTTATGTATTATATTTTAATTGCATTGTTTTATTAATGTTATTTGTTGAGTTTATATTGCAATGGCCACCCAGAGAGCATGTTGCTAAGGGTGGCTTTAAAAAAATACATTAATAAATCCAAGGCACTGCTTTTGGTTCGCCCCAGCAGATCAGAAGGGGAGGCAACCCGTGACTTGCTGTCTTGCCATTCATTCCGTGTTCTTTACTGCACCTTTCCCACCACTGGCTCCAACAGGATGAAAAAGCAGGGTGTGAGCACGGAAGCAGCTGTACTATTTTCCTACTTAGGACAGGAGACGGAAGAAGATGCTTTGAATGAGGTGGATCTAAAGTCTCCCTTGCTCTTCCCCAGCATGCCACCTGTTTGCCTACCCATTTGCTGCCAGAGAAGCAAGTGGCAGACTTTCTGATGCTACTATTAGAAGACACCCAAGAAGAATTCACTGTGCAGGAGTAGAGAGAGAGATTCTTGATAGCCGGTGGTCCTGGGGAGACCTGCCAGAGACCACAAGGATGCAGCTTAAGAAAACATTAGTGTATGATTTTTTTTCTTTGGGAGGTTTGGATTTCAGTATGGGAGTTGCTGTGCCAGGGAGCACAGTCAAACCCCCCTCACCTTGCCCTTTCTCATGGTTTGTATGTTGTTTACAACCATTGTTACCTTGATTTTTTGTGGTTCCTTAATTATTTGAAAGGGCTGTTTCATTGTATGACCCCAGCCAATAACTCACAATATTCAATAACAGTAGAATAACTCACAGTCTCTGATGACATCGCCAGGCCATTTAACCATTCAGTCCTGGCTGCACCCACACAATTCATTGCCCTTACAATGAATCAGAGCAGAAAGGAAGTGGCATCTCCCCCCTACTCAGGCAACAGGGGTGACATCACCTGCCTTGCCATTCTCCAGGAATGTCATGCCCCTTGTTGGATACCAGAAGACATGCACTGATTTTCCTCCAGTCATGGACAATTATGCATTGCTTTGGGGGCAGAAGATAGACAGGAATACCAATTCAAAGAAGTGTCCAAATGCACATCCCACTGGAAATAATGCAGGGGGATGCAAGAGGCCTGCATTCTATCAATGAATGTTGCATCTGTATTCTTCCAGATGCAAACGTTAGCCATCCTTGTTGTACCAGTTTCAGTGGGATGCATACAAGGTCACAGTTCTAAACATGCAATT